CCGTCAGTCCATCAGTTGTCAGTCAGTCGGTCCGGCAGTCAGTGTGTCAGTCTGTCAGCTGTCAGTCCAGCAGTTGTCAGTCAGTCAGTCCGGCAGTCTGGCAGTCCGGCAGCCAGTCAGTCAGTCCGGCAGTCCATCAGTCCGGCAGTCAGTCAGTCAGTCTGTCCGTCCGGCAGTCCGGCAGTTGTCAGTCCGTCAGGCCATCAGTCTGGCAGTCTGGCAGTCCAGCAGTTGTCAGTCAGTCCGGCAGTCCGTCCAGAGTGAGTCCTTGACTCCAGCCCTGTCCTGGAAACAGGAGACCCAGAGACCAAAGAGCTTAGAAAGTGGCCAGCCCTGAGTCATTGTGCTTGTGATGCTGGTACTGTAAACAATGAGCAGTGACCTGCAAGCGACGTTTGGTGATACAGTATTGGTGTGGGGGTTAAATGCCCTAACAATGAGGGGCAACCTAAGAAACAATCCCAGCAGTCTGGGGGAGAAAGCCTAGTTCTCCAACAAATGTTTCAGTGGACAACAGGAAGTACTGGAAAATCTGAAGTTGTGACTTTCCTTAGAATGGTGAAAACAGGATTCCATTTTCAAAAATGTCCTTTTCACTCTGGTAAGAAATGCCAGCCACAGAGGGGCTCTCAGCTGGGAGGGTGGGGCAGATGTGTCTAGGGTTTAGAGAACATCCCAGCCCACTTCGGGCTTCCCAGAGCAATTCAGAACTCCTACGTGGAAAAGGAGAGAGGGGTAAGTTCCCAGAGAGACGAAGGGCAGAGTGGCCGGGAGACTTCCTCTCGCTGGGACACCGCCTTCTCGGGCGGTCGGCAGCCTTCTTCAGGTCCCCTGCTTTGTAAAAAGTGGTGCTCAAAGCTGGGACTTAAACTAAACAGATTTCCTAGAGGAAACACACACACACCATCACACTCTGCTAACGTTGCTTTTATGGACATTTCCCTGAGAAATATTTCTCTCTGGAAAAATAAATTCACAGGATGTAATTAAAACCATGATGTGTGTATGTTGGCCAGGGCTCTTCTTAAGTGCTTCACCAAATGGGCCACTAAATAAAGCAATGAAGGCTGGCTTTGTTCACGTCGGTTAACAATGCCACTTATTAATTATAACACACGGCATTCTCGGACTTTATGGTTTCAGAAACAGCCTTGCGGCTGGCCCTTGCCCAAGGCAGCCCCGGTTCTGACCCCAGTGTGACCTCTGCAGGAGACACAGGCGAGGGCTCTGAGGTGGCACTGGACGAGGCGACAGGCTCAGCTCCACCGACGCACCCATTAGGCTGTTTTCTGCTGATAACCCAGGGGAAAATAGATTGCAAACGTGAGACAAATTCCTGAAAAAGAAAATGTTAGCAAGGCAATGCTTTTCAGTACCAGGGCTAAGGGGAGTGATGTCTTCTTATCTTCGGTGTGGCTCCCAGAAAGGCCTCCCTGTTCCCAGCCCCGGCCTCTCCTGCTGGTCCTCAAGCTGGAGCGACTGTAATTCCCGTTTCTTTACTGGATGTATGAGTCCTAAGGCTATGGAAACAATTCACCGCAGACCTGTCTAAAGCCTGGGTGTCCCCAGGGCTGCGCTCCCCCGACCCCACCCTGGCACGAGGGTCCTTCCTGCCTCTGTCAGCTTCTGGGGACCCCAGGTGTTCCTTGGCTTGTGGCCACATCGCTGCACTCTCCAGCCCGTCTCCACACCGCCTTCTCTCTCTCCAATCTGCCTTGGGTCAGGGCCTGCCCTCAGTCCAGGGCCATCTCATCTTGAGATCCTTAATTCGCATCAGCAAAGACCGTTTTCCCAAATAAGGTCCAATTCAGAGCTTAGGCTGTGGACTGTTTTGGGGGCTGCCATTCAGCCCCTCCGTGCTGGTCTGTAGGCTCCACAGGATGGTGTCCAGCTTTGCTTGCCCCTGAACCCTAGGACCCTGGTGCCCTGGTGTGGCAGTTTGTCAGTTTCAGAGCCTGAAAGACTTTATCTGTTGGTTCAGGCCTGGGCCAGCTCCTGTGGGAGAATCAAAATACCCCTCCTACCAGAAGCCACTTTCGAGGAACCTAAGCGTCTGCCAGGAGAGATAGGCCAGCTCCTCTGGTAGCTGCAGTCAGGTGAGGAGAGATAAAATGCTGCCGGGAGGGCCTGGGGCCAAGGCCCCAGCTGGCCAGGTAAGGCTGCCAGGGGGTGTGGGGGGGACATCTGGTGAGGAGAGAGAGGTCACCAGGACAGGGGTGTGGGAGGGAGGGAGCCTCGTGTGCAGACCCCAGGGAAAGCATGCTGGCCCTGGAGGGTCAGGTTCTAGGCTGGAGCTTGGGAGCTGGAGGAGGGGAAGGAGGCTGGGGCTCGAATCGGGATGGGCCTTAGATGCCCAGGCTTCTCCAGGAGTCTATACATGGGCATTCAGGGGACCATGAAGGAGTCTGTGAGCCTGAGTGACAGAGAGCAACCTGGTATGGCAGGAAAAGTTAACCTGGCATTAGGAGGGCATGGTGGGGCCAGCTCAGAGACTCTAGCACCGTGGTAGGACAGGCAGGGAGAGGAGCCCAGAACTGGGATAGGGTCTCCACTCACCCTGCTTTGAAAACTGCCAGCCCTGTGTTCTGGAGCCCGCTCAGTGCTGGGCAAGCTGGGCTGCTGGTCCCCCTGGCCTCTGCTGCCAGTCCCTGCTCTGGGACTGAGATTTCCTCACCTCTGACTCCTCCCCCTGCAGCAGTGACGAGCACATAGTAGGTGCCTTCCACGGGTGCTGCCTGGAGAGGCCCAGCCCCTGCAGAGGATGCACGGTCTCACTGAGCCCCGTGGCCTCCGAACACCCGTGGAGTTCTCGGTCACACCACGCTGAGGCAGCACGGCACCTGTTGGGGGACTGGGCGAGGGCACCCCCTGGGCAGGGCTCACACTGTCCTCTGCAGTCCCTGCCGCCAGGCTTCCCGGTCCTCCCCTGCCAGGATAAACCACATGCAGGCAGAGGCCGACTTGGCTGGAAGAGACAGGCTTGGAGGGCTACAAGAAGCCCGCTGTCTGCGCCCTGCCCAGCCCCGCAGGGCCCTGCTGAGGGCCTGCTGGGACACTGCCTCTGCCCCTGAGCCCTGCTCTGTTCCCAGCTGGGCAGAGAAGGTGGGCTCAATTTGGGATAGGGTCGGGTGGGGTGGGAGGCTGGAGGCGGGACGGGCTTCACTCAGCAGAGCACTGCCATCGTGAAGAGTTAGCAGCCATGGTGCTGATGCCACTGTTTGCTGAGGCTCTCTCTGCCCGGGAGCCTGTGGCACTTTCTATGGGATTTTGGGTCTTTACAAAGCCTGCAAGGTAGGTATTACCGGCCCACTTTACAGGGAGGCAGCTGATGCTTGGAGGCTTTGCCCTGTCTGATGGCTCAGCTGGAAGGAGGTGGGTCTGGCTCCCTAGCTTGCGGCAGACACCCTGACTCTCCACGGGTGGGCTGCAAGGTCTGAGACAGGGTCTGCGGGGCAGGGGCTGGTAAAGGTATTTCCAGAGCAAAGCATGGAGGCTCGGCCAGCTGCCCTCATCTCACGGCCTTACCTGGTAAACCTTCAGATGCCCTGCTTTGAGGAGATCCTTCAAAGGAGAGGGCCTGGGCCCCCTGGGAGGAGATGCCCCAAACACAGGCCCACAGGGCCCAGGACCAGGAGAGATTCCCATTTCTGGTCCCTGTCTGGGTGACATCTTCTGCCCAATTCCCAGAGATAGCCATGGGGGCTGAGTGGCGGCAGCATCGGCCACACCTAGGCCCGGCAGGGTCCTCATGCAGCTGCGGGGCTCAGGTTTCCAGCCACCCATATGCCTGCTGTGCTTCTGGAGGGGCCCCCGGTTCCCTGCAACAGGAGGGATGAGGGATGGGAGCCCCTTCTCAGATCTCCGGAACCAGAAGGCTCGTTGTTGGACATTTTGTTATAAAATGATGCTTAACCAGTACTACTGTAGCTGAATCTGTCACACATCTGATTACTTCCCTAGAACGAATGCCTGGAAGAGGCATTTCTGATCAAGGACTACTCATTCTGATGCTTTAGCTAGACTGCCACATTTTCCGCCAGAAAGACTGGGCTGGATACACAGAGGGGCCACTGGGGCCACTGTGGGGAAGGCCTGAGCCTCCAGGGGGCCAACAGGAGGCAATGGGTGATTTCACGGCAGGAGGAAATGCAGGGGTGGGGAAATGGGAGGGAGCCATGGGGTCCCAGAGGGGCACAGACAGCCCCCTGCACGGGTCCTGCCACTGGTGTGCCAGCTGGGATGGCATTGGCAAGGCCCTGTGGCTCGTAGGTGATGTGACCAAGTGGATTCAACTCCCGTGGCCACTGAGTGTCTCTGTGCGTGTGGCTCTTTTATCCTCAGAGGACCTGAAGAAAAGGGGTTCTGGAGAGGTGAGATCTGAGGAGGAGACGGGCTGTGGGGCTGCACAGTCTGGGTGTGAGTCCAACTCAGCCACCTGTGGGCTGTGTGGTTTTGGGGACAGCTCCAGAGCCCCTGGTCTCAGGGTCCTGAGAAATGGGGGTGATGGTATTGGCAGAGCGTGGCCAGTGATTATGTGTCCTTCCCGATCCCGCACTGCTGGTTCTGTGGATGCTGCACTGTACCCTGCGGGCATTTAGGAGGCACAGAGATAGGGATGTGAGGCCACCTCTCCACTACGGACCACGCAGCCTCAGGTTTTTCTAAGAGGCAAGATCCCAAGGGGAACACATGGCAGGGGAGGTGGAGCTGCAGGTGCCAGGAGGGAAGCTCTGCTCAGGGCACTCGATACCTTGATGCAAAGGCTGCTGACACGTGGGACGCTCACTGTGGGCCCACAGGAACCAGACAGGCAGAGCAGCGGGGACCTGGCTCTCACCTGGCTGCACATTAGAATCACATAGGCGCCCTTAAGGACCCAGCGGCCAACCCACACCCCAGACTGACTGCACCAGAGCTTCTTTTAAAAAACAAAGCAATTACGGTAAAATATAGAACATAAAACTTAACCTTTTTAAAATGCACAGTTCAGTAGTGTTAATTCACAATTCACATTGTTGTGCAACCAATTTCCAAAACTTTTTCATCTTCCTCAACGGAAACTCCGCCCCCATTAAACACTAAGTCCTCATTCCCCACTTCCCAGCCCTTGGCAACCCGCACTCCGATCTACGGTTTCACTGCCCCACATTATGATCTCACCTAAGTGGAATCACACAGTACTGTATTTGTCTTTTTGTGACTGGCTTATCTCACTCAGCATAACGTCTTCAAGATCAGGATTTCCTTCCTCTCCAAGGCTGAGCGCTATTCCATTGCATGGATGGACTGCATTTCGTTTATTCATTCACGAACACGTGAGTCGGTTTCCGGCTTCGGAGTTGCTGAAGCTCCAAGAGTTTGGATGTGCAGCTGTGGTGCAGTAGCGTCATCATCGGAGTCACCTGTCCCTCATGCCAGCGGTGCTCTCTGCTGTTACCAAGTCTGAACACCACTGCAGGAAGTACCCCTACTCCCGCCTCCACCCCGCACAGGGCCTGCCAGGTCTGCAGCTGGGGGGACCCACCCAGTGTATCTGGGCCACTCGGGGCCAGCCTCAGCAGGGGCACTTGCGGGGCTGCGCCTGCGGCTCCCTTACCGTCTGGTGTGTTGTACACAAGGATGGGCCAGCAGGTCACGCCACGACTGCAGGGGTTTCCGTCCTTCCTTATCAGTCTCCTCCTGCCTGAGGCCTGCTTTCTACCTCGGCCGGCCGGGGAGAATGGGAGGACCCCAAGGGAATCCGTGCTGAAGGACCGAAACCAATCCTCACGGTGGGACGACGCTGCGACATTTGAACTTGGGAGCGTGCAGGGAATGCTCCCCGTTTGTTCACAAACGCATTCATTTATTCAACGAACTCCGCGTCAGCCATCGGCTGTCATCCGTAGCCGAGCTGACTGCGGGCTTCACGGAAGGGATTCGGGGGAGCATTCCTCCGAAACAGCAGCACGCTGCCACGCTCAGCCCTGCGGTGGGCCGTCACCACGCCCCGCGCCTCCGAATCCACCGTCCCGGGGCCGCTAGCGGCTCGGGGGGCACCTGCCGGGACCGCGCCAGCCCGGCCGAGACCCGGGTCCCGCCCGCCAGGGCCCCGCCCACCCCCGGCAGAAGCCACGCCCCGTCCGAGGCGGCGGGGACGACCCGATCGACCGGACCCAGGCTGCTGCCCCAGGCGACACGCTTTCCGACTCCTTGGCTTCTCATGAGGGGAAACCACAGCGCAGCCAGCGCCCCCAGAGTCGGTGACTAGGGAAATCCACGCCCAACGCCGGAACCCGCCAGCGCCCAGCTCGGCAGGAAAGCCGGAAGTGGAGGCGCGGACCCGGAAACCAGTGAGGCCGGCGCGCGCCCGCCGGAAGCCGTGACCCCGAGGCGGCCCCCTCGCCCGTGGCGCCGGAAGTGGTCGCGGGCAGCTCTGCTTCCTGCCTGAGGGGCGCGGCGGGCCCGTGGCGGCCGCGGAGGCGGGAGCGCTCATGGCGGAGGGCGGCAGCCCAGACGGGCGGGCGGGGCCGGGGTCCGCAGGTAACGTGCGCGCGGCTGCCGCGGGGCGTGTGGGGATGGCGAGGGCTGGCTCTGGCGTCCCTGCCGAGGCCCTGCGTCCTCGTCCCGGGCCGGCCGGGCCCACGGGGCAGCCCGGGAGCCGCTTCCCGCAGGCCGGGGTCGGGGGTCAGCGCGGCCGGTCGCGCGGGGCGGCCCCAGCAGCGACGCGCTGCCGGCCCCTCAGCCTCGAGTGCAGTCCCCGCGCTGGATTTCCTCTCCGGTGGAACTTGCTCGTGACTTCTCTCCGGTTAGCCGATGCGGATTTGATATGGCCCAGCTGCAAGAGTAGGCCCCGGGTCACCTTCCGGCTCTGAGCGCACGGATCAGGACAGCCTCCCGGAGGGCGGGCACCTTTTCGCCCCTCTGCCCACCCCCACGGGCACAGACCAGCGGCAGCGGGGACGCCACCTCCGGCGAGCTCGTCAGTGACACAGCATGTCCCGGGGCCTTTGGCCCGCCCGCAAAGGAGGCAGCTAGAAAGGCTCACACCCACCATCCAAAATAACCTGCTTATCCTGTCCCCCACCTTGAAGGGCCCCTACCACGCACAGGTGAAGGAAGCGGTCAGGACAGGTTCCTCTTTCCCGGTGGTGTGGCAGGAGCCCCTTCTTGCCGGATTTCTGAGTTTGCCATTCGCGCCAATGGTTTCATGTGCTCTGGGCTTTACATGCTTCCTCTCCTTCTTAGTAATAAACCAAGAAATTTGTTAAAAATCTCGAAAGATTGACTTGGAGACTGGTGCGGATAGGTTTTTCCCTCCCTCCCTCCCTTCCTCCTTCCCTCCCTCCCTCCTTCCCTCCCCACCTTTTTCCAGTCATTTAAGAGACTTTTGTTGAAGACCTACTGTTGGCTAGACCCAGCGGAGGAAACTGCAGTGACCAGAACAAGCCAGACAAAGCATCCACCACCCTGGGCTGTGGTTGGCATTGACTTTGACATCGGAGACAGCCAGGGCCTTAGGTTCTAGAATGTCACTCCACGTGAGAGTGAGAGACGGAATCAGAGGTGTTCCGTGGGAAAAAGAGGACTAACAGCTACTTCCCAGTATAGAGAGGGGTCCTGGGAAAGAAACACTGGCTTTGGCGGCTGCACAGAGTTCCTCTTTTTTTTTTTTGGAGACGGAGTTTAGCCCTTGTTGCCAAGCTGAATTGCAGTGGCGTGATCTTGGCTCACTGCAGCTTCCGCCTCCCGTGTTCCAGCCATGCTCCTGCTTCAGCCTCCCAAGTAGCTTGCCCGGCTAAATTTTGTATTTTTAATAGGGATGGGGTTTCACCATGTTGACGAGGCTGATCTTTGAACTCCTGAGCTCAGATGATCCCCTGGCCTTGGCATCCTAAAGTGATGGGATTACAGAGGGCTTTTTTTTTTTTTTTTTTGGAGTCTCTCGCTGTCACCAGGTTGGAGTGCAGTGGTGCAGTCTCGGCTCACTGCAACCTCCTCCTCCCGGGTTCAAGCGATTCTCCTGCCTCAGCCTCCCGAGTAGCTGGGACTACAGGCATGTGCCACCATGCCCACCTAATTTTTGTATTTTTAGTAGAGAAGGGGTTTCGCCATGTTGCCCCAGATTGTCTCGGTCTCTTGACATCGTGATCCACGCCGCCTCTGTCCCAAAGTGCTGGGATTACAGGCCTGAGCCACTGTGCCCAGTCGAAGGCTCCTTTTTCTATCCTCATGCACTGCTGTTACTCGGTGTGTTTTGGGCCTGGGGTGGAGAGGCAACAGATTTTCAGTTGAAGCTCAAGTGCTATCCTGGGGCAGTTGTGTTGTTACTGGAATAGTTGGTCAGCAAAACACAAACTTGAAGTTGCTTTTGAATCTGGAGCTGGGGAAAGATTCTGAGGCTCCTTTTGAGGTGGGCCAGAATTGGATAGCACAGAGGTCGGCAGAGGGGCCCAGAAGAGAGCCCAGCAAAAGTCCTGTGGCTTCTCTTCACCTGTTGGTTACTGCCTTACACCGGAATCTTTCCTGCTCCTGCTTTGAGCTTTCTCACTCTGTGGTAACCACAACTGTGGGGTTAATTACAGGGGAGGATAGTTACTGAAGGAAGACTGGGATAGTGGCATAAAGAGCTGTTCATGCCTGCTTGTTGATCTGTGGCCCGCCTGGTTGTGGAATCAGCGTGAGCAACCCAATGGACTCAAATCCTGGAGGGCAAGGACACTGCCTCATCACCCCATCGTACCTGTGGTTGAGTCTCGTCTACAGTAGTACCCAAAAGAGATTTGATTTTAATATAAAAAAAATTTCAGCATCTGGAAGAGCCCCTTATGGAGGGTGTGCTTTATACCTGCATGTCCGGTCTCACTCTAGGACAGCATGGCAGGGCAGGGACTTGAATCCAAGCCGTCTGTGTTTTTGCTTGTTACGTACATGCGAATCTGTGTAACTATTTTTACAAAACGTAAATCTTCAGAAGTTATTTTGGGTTATGATATGAGGTGAATAACTCAATATTTCCAAACAAGTACCTAATGGTACAAATGCCGTTTATTGAATACTCTTACATTCTCGCTGATTATGATGCTGGTTTATAATTTCAGGCATACCTTGGAGATAGTGTGTTCAGTTCCAGAACACTGTGATCAAGTGAATACTGCAATAAAGCAAGTCATGTGAATTTTTTGGTTTCCCAGTGCATGTATAAGTTATGTTTACATGATGCTATGGTCTATTAAGAGTGCAATAATACCATTATGCTTAAAAATGTACACATTTTAGTTAAAAAATATTGCTGAAAAATTGCTCACCATTATCTGAGCTATCAGTCACGAACTTTTTGCTGGTGGAGCATCTTGCTCCAGTATTGATGGCTCCTGACTCATCAAGGGGCAGTGGTAATTCTTAAATTAGATGACAATGAAGTTGCCATAGTGACTGGCTCTTCCTTTCATGAGATTTCTTTGTAGCATGAGAGGTGGTTTGATGGCATTTTACCCACAGTAGAGCTTCTTTCAAAATTGGAATCAGTCTTCTGCAGCCCTGCTGCTGTTTTATCAATGAAGTGTACGTTGCCTTCTAAATCCTTTATTGTCATTTTGACAGCGTTCACAGCATCTTCACCAGGAGTAGACTTCATTTCAAGAAACCGCTTTCTCTGCTCATCCATAAGAAACAACTCCTCATCCATTAAAGTTTTATCATGAGAATGCAGTAATTTAGTCACATCTGCAGGTTGTAATTCTAGTTCTCTTGTGATTTCCACCACATCTGCAGGTGCTTCCTCCACTGAAGTTTTGATCCCCTCAAAGTCATCCATGTGGGTTGGAATCAGCTTCTTTCAAAACCCTGTTAAAGTTGATATTTTGACCTCCCATGAATCACAAATGTTCTAAATGACATTTAGATTGGTGAATCCTTTCCTGAAGGTTTTAAATTCATTTTTGCCCAGATCCATCAGAGGAATCACTATCTATGGCAGCAATAGCCCTACAAATTGTATTAAACGATGTTAATACGTGAAAGTCAGAATGACTCCCTGATCCACAGGCTGTGGAATGGCTACGTTTGCAGTCATGAAAACAGCATGAATCTTGTACATCTCAATGAGAGCTCATGAATGACTAGGTGCTTTTTCAGCAAGCATACTATTGTGAAAGGAATCTTCTGAGCAGTAGGTCTCAACAGTGGGCTGAAAATATTCACTAAACCATGTTATGAACAGATGTGCTGCCACCTGGACTTGGTTGTTTCATTTTAGTGCATAGGCAGAAGGAGTTTTGGAATGGTGAGTGAGCCCTGACTTCAGCTTAAAGTCACCGGCTGCATTAGTCCCTAACAAGAGAGTTGGCTTGTCCTTTACAGCTTTGACACTAGGCATTGACTTCTCTCTAGCTGTGAAAGTCCTAGATGGCATCTTTTTTCCAATAGAAGGCTGTTTCTTCTACATTGAAAATCTGTTGTTTAGTGTAGCCATCTTCACTTTTAGCCACGTCTTCTGAATAACTTGCTGTAATGTCCACGTCAGCACTTGCTGCTTCACTTTGTACTTCTGTGTGATGGAGATGGTTTCTTTAAACCTCATGAATCAATCTCTGCTAGCTTTAGACTTTGCGTCTGCACCTTCCTGAGCTCTCTCAGGCTTCATAGAATCAGAGAGAGTTAGGGCCTTGTTCTGGATTAGGCTTTGGCCTAAGGGAATGTTGTGGCTGGCTTGATAGTATCTCCAGACAACTCAGACTTTATATCAGCAATAAGGCTGTTTTGCTTTCTTATAAATTGTGTGTTCTTCACAGGGATAGCGCTTTTAATTTCCCTCAAGCTCTTTTCCTTTGCATTCACAACTTGGTTGTTTGGCACAAGAGGCCTAGCTTTCAACCTTTCTTAGCTTTCCACATGCCTTTCTCATTAAACTTAATCATTTCTAACTTTTAATTTAAAGTGAGAGATGTATGACTGTTTCTTTAACTTGAACACTCAGAAGCCAGTGTAGGGTTATTAGTTAGCCTAATTTCAATACTGTGTCTGGGGAACAGGGAGGCCTGAGTGGGGGGGGAGAGAGAGAGAGAGAGACAGACAAGGAGTGAGAGGGAGTGGCTGGTTGGTGGAGCAGTCAGAACACAGACCACGTGGATGGATTAAGCACGCTGTCTCATAGGGGCACAGTTTGTGGCCCCCCAAAACAATTACAGTAGTAACATCACAAATCACTCATCACCGTAACAGATAAAATAATAATGAAAAACTTTGAAATATTCCAAGAATTACCAGATTGCGACCCAGAAGACACAAAATGAACACATCCTGTTGTATAAATACAGAGTTGCCACAGGCAGTCAGTTTGTAAAAAACACAGTTCCCTCTGGAGCTTGATAAAGTGAAGTGCAGTGCAGTGAAGGGTGCTGATATTGAGTTGTTTGTACTGAGTTCTTTCTGGGCGTTGATGGTTTGATTTATTAATCTTTATTTTGATGAGCATTCTGTTACCTATTAGGGTAGGGCTTTTTCTCTGTAACTTACTAAAAAAACCAGAAAAGTTCTCCCTTATTTATATTTTCAAATAAACTTTAGAATATTTTTCATGACATCTGATAACAAAACCCCAAAGAAATGGTTTGTACTTTATTTAAAATTCCTTAAATATTGAATCTTTTTTATCCAAGTGCATGGTGTGTTTTTTTCTGCTTATTCTGTTCTTTTGTGTCGTCTTATCAGTTTTATAGTCTTCATTATATGGGCTGGATTTATGTCTATGTACATGTATTTTTAACCTTTTTTATTGAGGTGGAACTTCTGTGTGGTCAAGTGCACCTTTCTCATGAGTTTCTTACGCATGCCTCCCTGTGGCCATTACCCAGGGCAGCATGGTAGGGAGTCATCCGTGTAGTAAACAGCAGCATTTACTCAGCCCTTGGGTTTTGCCCTGATGTCTTTTTTTGTAGTGAAGGAGATGACAGTGGTTCTCTTTTATAGTTTCCCAGTTTTAAGATATTCCCATATACCTTGAGTAAATTAGAATAATTGCATGCTAGATTCTTTGATACAGTATTGATTCAATCTGCAAATACTTTCTTTAGGATTTTGCTTCTGTATTCTTCAGTAGGTTTGACTTATAATTCCTGGGCCCTACCAACTTTAAAAAAAATTAATCTTGTCAGGGTTAGTGTCAGGAATGTGCTAGTTTTATAAGGGAAGGTTTTTACTATTTTCTCTTTTTGTTTTTACAGATAGGGTCTTGCTGTGTTGCTCAGGCTGTTCTCGAACTCCTGGCCTCAAGTGATCCTCCTGCCTCAGCCTCTTGAATGGCTGGGATTATAGGCGTGCCACCATGCCCAGCTTGTGATTTATTTCTTGAGCATTTGAATGTGCCCCATAGCTGGGAGAGGGAAGACTTGCTGCAGATGGCACTCCCTTTTGATTAACCTTGGTAGGGCCTCCCTGAGCTAACAAGAGCCCCTCTCTTCAGCGCAGGTCGTAATCTGAAGGAGTGGCTGAGGGAGCAGTTTTGTGATCACCCACTGGAGCACTGTGAGGACACAAGGCTCCATGATGCAGCCTACGTCGGGGACCTCCAGACCTTAAGGAACCTGTTGCAAGAGGAGAGCTACCGGAGGTGAGCGGCGCTGCCCCGAGCCTGGTGCGGGCACTTGAGCCCTGCAGGGCTGCATGAAGCTGAGCCTCACAGTCAGGATTGCAGATAAAGACCTTGATGTTGGGAGGAATGTGTTCCAGTTTTAGAGGAAGGGGAAAAAGGAGACTGAAGCAGCATGGTCAGAGTTGTAGGAGACAGCCAGATAGTGTGGTCAGGGAGACCTGACTTCAGGTCCTGCTCTGTCATTGACCTTAGTGTTTCCTGGCAACTTCTGGACCTCTGTGGGCCTCAGCCCCTTGATGTCACCCCTGAAGGCAGCAGCGTTTCCCTCTTCAGTGGTGGCCCTGCCCCATTGTGGGTCTCTTGTGGCTCTTGATCTCAGGAGCTTCTGTATGTTCACCTTCCTTCACCAGCTTCCCTGGCGCCCTCTCCTCTGCTTCTCAGGCCCTCAGTCATCTGCCCCGGGACCTGGGCCTCAGCCTTAGGCCCTTTGCCTCATCACCTTTCTCCTTACTGTTCTCCTTATCAGTGGTCCCCTGCCCTGACCTTGCCAAACTCTGCCTGTCCCTACAAAACGGCTCCAGCCCTTCGTTCACAGCAGCCGATGCTTGCCTCTCCCTCTCCTCTCCCTGCTCAGGACGCCTGGGAGAGCAGAATTTGCCTGCTCTCTGGAGTGTTCTCTGATTCTTCTGCGGGTTTAAGGTTGGAGTTCCAGCTAAAGCTTAAACTCAGCTGCAGCCGGGAGCTGTCCATGCTGCCTTTGTGTTTCTGCTGCTGTTCCTTCAGGACCCAAATGGCAGTGCGTTGATAGAAGCAATGCCTACATGTCGGTGCTGAGACTAATGCCACCACTTTTCTTTGGATAATTTCCAAGAAAAGGATTTCTGCAGGAATATGTTTCTTCATTTCCTTCCAGTGTCTTAGTGGTATTTCATCAGAAAAGTATCAGTTTTTAAAAGAAGAATACCAGAAAGGACTGTCAGATGAAGATGGATGGGTCACGTACAAATATTTAATGTGGATGACTCAAGCCCAAAGCAAACCTAAATTAAACTTGCAGATGTAACAGTGGAATGAGAGTTCAGTGAGGCCTTAGACCAAGTCTTTTCTATTGCTTTTCCCAGCACTGTTTATTCTTCTTCCTTTACTCAGGTCTGGGCGTCTCTGTTTCTTTACGTTTTTCTGTTGCTATTTGTCACTTCTTTGGTGATGAGTTCCTGGAGCATTCCTCCCTTGACTTTCCTGTGCAGTCAGAGCTGGGGCACGGCCGGCGGCAGAGCCTGGAGGGCTGGCTTGCGGAGCTGCTCCCGCTGCATGTTCCTGGGGCCTGGTTTGATGCTCTGGGCTCCTGAAGTTTGTTCTCGGTTACACCAGGAGCTCACTGTGAACTGGTTGCAGTTGCTGCCTTGCTGGGTTAGTGGTTGGGGCAGGCAGTTGCAGTCTGATTGTGATATCTGCTGAGAGCTGAGTCTGGACAGGGTCCTCTGCAGCTGTTGGCCTGGGGTGTAGCCCCCATGCCACTTTAGTGATCCTTTAGGCCATCATTTGTTCAGTGTTAGAGGTTGGGGGGCCTACATAGTCACCTAGTCCTGGTGAGGATGCTGAGGCCCAGAGAGAGGCCCAGCCTCAAGCCTTCACACGTAGTAACTGGGGAAAAGCGGCCTGACCCAGACTCCTGGGTGAGTGCGCTGTTCACTCGGCACTGCCTCCCAGGCAGACCCTTTCCACCTGTGTAGAGGAAGGCACTTCGGACAGCAGTCAGGAAATCTGAGAACTAGGGATCTTAGTATTGGTGCTGATCATTCTGCCGATGCCCCGAGTTTCCTGTCTCTGGAATGGGGCTGGGAATGCCTGCCCTGCCCTGCCATGCCCAGGTTCCACAGGGGAAAGGTGTCAAAGCATTTCAGAAGGCAGAGCCCGTTAACTGGTGGTGTTATTAACCGGCAGGGGACTATGTCAGTCACCTCCTCGGGAGTCTGTCTGTGGGCCAGGATGAGGGGGCAGTGCAGCCTGCCCCTGTCCTGGGGCTGCATCTCATGAGCCCCCTTGTGTTCCTCCTGCAGCCGCATCAACGAGAAGTCTGTCTGGTGCTGTGGCTGGCTGCCCTGCACACCGTTGCGAATCGCGGCCACTGCCGGCCATGGGAACTGTGTGGACTTCCTTATCCGGAAGGGGGCTGAGGTGGATCTGGTGGACGTAAAAGGACAGACGGCCCTGTATGTGGCTGTGGTGAACGGACACCTAGAGAGTGCCCAGATCCTTCTCGAAGCAGGCGCAGACCCCAACGGAAGCCGGCACCATCGCAGCACCCCCGTCTACCATGCTTCTCGTGTGGGCCGGGCTGACATCCTGAAGGCTCTCATCAGGTCAGTACTGCGGGGCTCCTGGCCGCCAGGCTCCTGCGGCCACTTCACTTTTCTTCTCTGTATTTGCAATTTTTCCTTGTTTAGAATTCGCTTCTTTGGATGACTCGCCTGTTTTGCTGGTCTTTGTAAAGAGCTGCTTCTTGGCTTTATCAGCTCTCTTTGTTTTTTTGCTTACGTGTTCCTTTATATCTGCTTTTATCTTTTTCTGATTTTTTCCTTTTTTTTCCCTTTTGAGTTGAATGCTTAGTCCTTTTATTTTTTTGATTAAGAATGAAAACTTTGGTGCATGCCTGTAATCCCAGCATTTTGGGAGGCCAAGGCAGGCGGATCACGAGGTCAAGAGATCGAGACCATTCTGGCCAAGATGGTGAAACCCCATCCCTACTAAAAATACCAAAAAAAAAAATTAGCCGGGTGTGGTTGCAAGCACCTGTAATCCCTGCTACTCTGGAGGCTGAGGCAGGAGAATCGCTTGAACCCGGGAGGTGTAGGTTGCAGTGAGCCAAGATCGTGCCACTGTACTCCAGAGTGAGACTCCATCTCAAAAAAAAAAGAAAAAAAAAAAAGAAAACTTGTAGGGTTAAGTTAACCTTTTACTGTAGTTTTGATCATGCTCTCTAAGCTTTTTCTTTATTTTTTAAGTAGCTCTAATTGAAGTTGCTTTCCTCTTTGTTCTTAGAGTTATGGAAGATAAGGTTTTAATAACACTTTTATTATATTATGCTTAGATGATATGGACCATATAGTTTTCATTTTGGGGATTCTTTGAATTTTAAAGAAGGTATTAATTATTATTTTTGTTTAGTTTTTGAGATGGGGTCTAACTTTGTTGCCCAGGCTTGAGTGCTGTGATGTGATCATAGCTCACTGCACCCTCAAACTCCTGGGTCCAAGTGATCCTCCAGTCTCAGCCTTACTGGTGGGTGACACTATAGTACCGTGCACTGCTGTGCTGGCTTATTATTGTTACTTATTAATGTCAGATTACATTGTTGTGAATGCTTGAAACAAGTACATGACCATGGGTGTTTTATTTACATATTATACGTTGTTAACCTAAGTTAGGTTAACTCTCTCTCTTTTTTTTTTTTTTTAATTTTCTTGCCATTGGATCTGCCAGAAATTTAAAGAAGTCTGTTATCTCTGATCACATTTGTGATTTTGCCATTTTTCCCCTTGTACTTTGAATAGGTTTTGTTTTGAAAATGTTAATGCTAATTGAGCTCATAAAAGTTCCTGCTTACGTATGATGCTCTATCAAAACAAGAGCACTGTTAGTTTCATTTGAGGCCAGTTTACATGGCATTATATAATATTTTTAATCCTAGCGCGTCTCAGTAGTGTTGTTTGCACTGTATAGAACTATTTGTCTAGGAGTTTTTGCCTTTTAATACAGTTAACATTATTGCTATAGCTAATGTTAGGGTCTATTTCTGTTTTCTTTCTGTTTTGTAACTATTTGCATTTGATATCTTTTCTTCATGTATGTTTTCGTTGCTTTCCCCTTCCATTTTATTATGTTTACATCTTGTTTTAATCATACTAATGGTTGCCCTTTTTTTTCCCTTTGGAACCAGATCGTGTTTTTATTTTTCATGTTTCTAGTGACTTCTTTCCAGCAAAGATGCTTTTTTCCCTCCCTTACTCTGGAGACCAAATTGCTCTGCATTTGGTCAGGGTGCAGTTTAGGTAGCTGGTTCTCAGGGAAATGTTTCCATATTGGAAAGGATTAGGTAAGGAAGGGTTCTGTTGTTAGAGGCTGCAGCCAGGTTGGTTCTGAGGAGCAGGGACCTGGCATTCCCTTTACCCAGCACAGAACATGGTTTTTAAATCACGCACTGAGAATAAGCTTTTCCAGTTTTATCAATTAAAGAGCTACACAATAGGCTTTTGGGAGGATAAAGAGATGAAAGTGCTAAGGTTGTTATGTTAAGAGGATGCTAAAGCTGCGAGGCTTTTTTCCTCTTTTTAAGGGTTTCTAACCTGATTAAGCTACCTCAGTCCCATGCTCATCCTCAGCGTCGTGGAGAATGTAAGCTATTAATTTGGAAGTGTTTTTGAGTAGGATCAATCAGTGAAATTCCATCTTGGTTCCAGAAATCCCTCTGGGCATTTCAGTCAATTCATGACGCACGAGTGCTGTGTTACCTGCAGGCCGACCGAGAGGTGTGTACACAGATGCCCTTCTTGTGAAAACGTTACCAAGACAGCTTACTCCCCGACTGGAGCACAGGACATTACTTTTACAAGGCAGTACCAAGAACATATATTATTCTATTAAAAAGTTTCCTATAGTCTAAATTCCAAGATAATTGACTGTTGGAAGGTAGAGTGGTGTGGTTAAGTTACTGAACAGCGATGTTATTTGGAAATAACTTCACTCTGCCTTCCCTGTGCCAGTTCCCTCTCAGACAGGGCTCTCATCTTTCACGATTGCAATTTTCTGTCCCTCTATAAGTCACCTCCATTTTGTTATTTGTAAATTCCCTTGGTATATATTGCTCATACTTTAGAGAAAAGGTACAGAATGGTATTTCTGTATGTGCAAAAGTTATATTGATTTATTGAGTTCTCCCAGTGGTTCCTTGACGGTGATATTAAACGCAGTAGAAGAATTTGGAAAAAATTCAGGATTAAAATTAACTGGATCTCATCCAGTATATTTTTATGAGTGGATGAAGGGCTATCTTTCCCACAGCTCAGCTTATACCAGATTGTCATATTGCCCTACATTGCAAATGTTTTGGAAGATTTTCCCTAAGAATAAGGAGAAAAAAGCCATCACTGCTTGCGATCTAGTTTTCCTTTGCTTAATTGGTTGGGTGTATGAAATGAAATATGCATTTCTTGTTGGTTCTGTGTGTTTTAGAATGTTTCCCCTGTCACTCCTAGAATGTCTTGGAGAGTGAGTGATTGTGTTTGTTGTGGAAGCTAAATTGTCGTGTGAGCGTGTTGGTGGTCCCTGTTCTCATCCTCAGGCCTGTGTTGCCTGAAAGCAGCTGTTTCGGTTCCAGGGGAATGTTTCCGTGGACACTCAGGATGGTGCTGAGGAGGCGGTTGGAAAGCTTGGTTGCCGGCCATTTGTGTTGGCCAGTGCTTGATTGCGGCATGGAAGACGACGCTGTTCTTCTGGCCTCCCCGCGCCCTGTGTGTTCTGGCCCTGCCATCGCTGCTCTCCGCATACTGCCTTTTCCTGTTTTCAAATGAAATACTTTGGTGGTGATGAATCTTGTGAGACATTGCGGGGCCGTGTGGGGCTGATGAAAGCTCAGGAAAACAGGTGCTGACTCTAATGTTTACTCAGATTAGAGTCACTAATGCGTCTTGGGCAGGAATCTTGAAGTGAGGTTGTATTCCCATTCCCTCCGTCAGGCTGCATATGATCTCTGTGTCCATTACTGCTGATACTCACTTCCGTTACTTGATGAAGATGGTGCCTGCCATGTTTCGGTACTGTAAAGCTATTCCTGTTCTCTCTGTAATTAGGATTCTGTGGAGAGGTGCTCTGCAACTGTGTATATATCCTGTTCGTCTCAGATTTTTAATTGTTCATTTATGTATTTGTTAGTATAGAATCATGGTTTCTGATATTATTCAATGAATTGTAATTTATTATTATTGTTACTTAATTTCAAATTCATATTTTCCCAGATTTGGCTACTGATAGCTGCTTCAAGCCACCTCTGCCCTTTTGACATGTCCTTATCATTCTGTGAGTAGTTCCTTTCTCATGGAACAAGATATTCTAGGCTCATCTTGTACTTTGTCTCAGTCCTGGAATAAGTCATTTCTCCAAGGTTTCTTTTAGTGAAGAATGGTGTGCAGAAACCTACGTCTGGATGCTAGGAGTGCCTGTTGCTTTTGGGGTGTCACTGTTTTCACGCCCTCCTCCTGGACCAAGCTAAGGTTGTATGTACATTCCACATTTTTGTCTATATTTATTTTTTTATTTTTTGATACAGAGTGTTGCCCTGTCACCCAGGCTGTAGTGCAGTGGTGTGATCTCGGCTCACTGCAACCTCCATCTCCCTGGTTCTAACAATTCCCCTGTCTCAGCCTCCCAAGGAGCTAGGATTACAGGCGCTCACCACCACACCCAGCTATTTTTTTATGCATTTTTGGTAGAGATGGGGTTTCACCATGTTGGTCAGGCTGGTCTTGAACTTCTGACCTCATGATCCGCTTGCCTTGGCCTCCCAAAGTGCTGGGATTATAGGCATGAGCCACTGTGTCTGGCCTATATTTCTTTATATACATTGACAGGAGTTCACCTGGCTACCCTTAATCCAGGCTAACGCCACAAGGTTCTTCCTAGTTTCTTCCTTTCACCAGTGAGAACCTGGCTCCCCCGCCCCTTCACACACAACATGTGTTGGCCATGTTGTCTCCTGTGTGGCACCAGCCAGCCTCCTTTTGTGGCCCCTTCCCATACATGGCTCCTGGCCTGTTTGTGCTCTACCTCATGCCAGGTAGCCATTCTTGACAGGTGGCCTCACTTTGCCAGGACTCTGGGAGCCAGGGCCCCCTCATTGGCTGATCCCTGTTCAGAGTAAAAATCATTAGGAGTTTGCACTTGGCCTGGAAGAACCCTAAGTGCCTGATGGAGAGCAGTGTATTTGGTCATCTCTGAGTAGAGTGACAAGGGCAAGTGAAGTCAGTGGAGTCATTTAGAGATTGGCTTTGGTGGATGATGAGGCTTCTAAGTCAGGTGGCTCCTGCACCTGCCCTGTGTGAGATTTGTTTCTTCCTATCCAGCCTGCTGCTGGGGGTCAGGAGGGGCAGCCTAGGGGCTACCTTGCTCCTGGCCGTGTGCATGCCCATGTGGAGAGCTGCATGATGTTCCCCTGCCAGCAAGCTGTGCGTCCTGGCCTGGGGCCTTCCAAGTGAACCTGACGCTGGGAGTGGTCTGTGCTAATCACCGGAGTCTGGATGTTTAGTGTGCCTGAAGAAAACAGCCGTCCTTGCGGGCAGCGCATTGTGACACCAGCTGGATACCTGATGGAGTTCATGTGTTTCTTTTTGCTTAAATAATTTTTTTTTTTTTTTGAGACAGAGTCTCACTCTGTTGCCCAGGCTGGAGTGTAGTACAGTCTTGGTTCACTGCAACCTCTGCCCCACTGGATTTAAGCGATTTGCATGCCTCAGCCTCCCGAATAGCTGGGATTTTACAGGTGCTGGCCAGCACGCCTAGCTAATTTTTGTATTTTTAGTAGAGATGGGGTTTCGCCAACTTGGCCAGGCTGGTCTCGAACTCCTGAGCTCAGGTGATCTGCCTGCCTCTGCCTCCCAAAGTGCTAGGATTAAAGGCATGAGCCACCACACCCGGCTGCTTTCAACTTTTAAGGATTGCTTTTTACTTAATTTTGTTTTACAACATAAAAAATTTACATGGTTCCAAAGTCAAATAAGGTATAATTTTTTTTTTTTTTTTTTTTTTTTTTTGAGACAGTCTCACTCTGTTGCCCAGGCTGTAGTGCAGTGGCACACTCTTGGCTCACTGCAGCCTCTGCCTCCTGGGTTCAAGTGACTGTCATGCCTCAGCCTCCTGAGTAGCTGGGACTACAGGTGTATGCTACCTTGCTCAGCTAATTTTTTTTTTTTTCTATTTTTATTAGAGACTGGATTTTGCCATATTGGCTAGCGAACACCTGGCCTCAAGTGATCTGCCTGCCTTGGCCTCCCAAGCGTTGGGATTACAGGCATGAGCCACCATGCTTGGCCAAGGTGCAAATTTTTGGATGTCTAGCTTGTATCCTTGTCTCCTTCATCCTGTTATCTCCCTTCCCAGTAGAAAACCATTAAAAAATTCCATGGTTTATAAGCACACTGCAACCTGCTTCCCCATAGAAACGGTAGTGGACTATCCACTCTCACTGTCCTGCTTCCTCCCCTCTTCCTGTGCTTGGGGGCCATTCCGGAGCAGTGTATAGCAGCCCTCCTCACTCCTTTTCAGAGCTGCGTGGTGCTGCATTGTGCAGTTGAGCTGAAGTTCATTCAGCCAGTCCCCTGTTAGTGGACACGTGGGTGGTTTACTGTCTCCAGCTGTTATGGATAGTGCTTTAATGAATTGCCTTGTGCATACATTTCTTTCATAGTTTTGCAGATGTATTTTGGAAACAGATCCTGAGAAATGTGATTGACAGGTTAAATGCATATGTAATTTTGCTAGTGATTGACAGATTTCCCCCCTCCATAGGGGGAGTGTTTACTTTTCATTGCTCAAACAGTGAGTGAGACTTTCTGTTTTCTAACCTGGTCAATAAATTTTTGGATTTTTCCCAATCTGATAGGTGAGGAGTGATAGCTCAGAATAGTTTTAATTTGCATTTCTGTTCTGAGTGAGGCTGAGTGTCTTTTCCTGTGGCTAAGAGCCGTTTGTAGCTGTCCATCTCTCTAACTTTTTTCTTTTTTTTTTTGAGACGGAATCTCGATCTCTTGCCTAGGCTGGAGTGCAGTGACACCACCTCTGCTCACTGCAACCTCTGCCTCCCAGGTTGAAGCAGTTCTCTTACTTCAGCCTCCTGAGTAGCTGGGATCACAGGTGCGTGACACCACGCCCGGCTGACATTTGTATTTTTAGTAGCGACAGGGTTTCGCTGTGTTGACCAGGCTAGTTTCAAACTCCTGACCTCAGGTGATCTGCCTGCCTTGGCCTCCCAAAGTGCTGGGATTATAGGCGTGAGCCACTGTACCTGTCCCCATCTCTCTAATTTTTCTGCAGGGCTATTGGTCTTTTTCTTTTAGAAGCTCTTTACATGTTAGGGATATTAACCCTTTGTAACATTTTTCCCCAATTTTTCATTGTTTTACTTTGCTTATATTGTTACATCATGCTTATGCCATGCAAAAGTTGTTCTTTTCAAAATTTTTATGTTAAAAACATTTTCCTTGTGGATTTTGTGTCAGAATTAGGCAAATTTTACTTAGAAGTTTTTTCCTAGTTTTTGCATGGTTTCATATTTCACGTTTTAAATTCTGATTCATTTGGAATGTATTCCAGTATATGCTATGGTGAATGGATTTACTTTTACCTTCTTCCATATGGATGTCCAGTTATCCCAAAAAACACTTACTAAGACATCCACGTCCCTCCCTTATTTGAGAAGCTGCCTTTATTTATATATGAAATTTCTATATGCAATTTGGCCCATTTCAAGATTTTCTGTAAAGTTCCATTATTCTCTCAGTTTTGTTCACATACCAATACCAGTTTTATTTTTACTCTTTATAGTAAATTGCACTTATGGTGTGGCTACCTTCCACCCTACATTATTGCTTAACTTTTTCATCTTGTTTGAGCTTACAGATGAGGAGCTTTATAAATCAACTAATGCAGCTCCAGGGATGCTGTTTTTATTTATTTATGTTTATAATCAACTTATTCTAGTAATGATATTTTCATTTATAAAATAAATTTAGGGGGAATTATCTTAACAACGTTGAGTCTTACGCAGCACTGTGCCATGTCTTTCCATTCTCTTAGGTCTACCTTTGTTCATGTTCAGTAATAGTTTATTATTTATCTTATGCAAATTTTGGACATTTATTGTTAAGTTTATGCTTAGATATATCATTGTAAAATTTACTTTGCTATTGTAAATGGAGTTTTATTTTTATATGAAGGCTATTGGTTTTACAGTCAGTTACTTCAGTAAGTTATCTCATTGCTTGTTAGTTTTTCCATATTATTTAGGGCTTTTCAGACATGTCATAGCCTCTGAAAATAGGAAATTTTTTACCTCTTATTTTCCAGTCTTATGCATTTAACTGTTTCTCTTGACTAATTGCACAGGATACCTTTAACACCTTGTTCATTAGGAGGCTGGAAAGCAGCAATCTGTCTCGATCCAGCTTTGGCACGAGTGCTTCTAGCCTTTCCCTGTTAAATGATATACTGACTTCGGGCCTGAGGAAATATGTACTATCACATGAAGGAAAAGCCATCACTTTCTGTTTTATTGAGCATTTTTAAACATGTACAGCTCTTAAGTTTTGTCATATGCCTTCCTTTTTTTTTTCTTCTTATTTTGTATCTGCAGAGATAATCAGAGGAATTGCCCCTCAGCCTCGTTTTACATTTGATTATATTCATAGTGTTTATAATATTGGAGCTAACTGTGTGCATTATTGGGATAACTCCCATGAGGTCATGGTTTATTGCTTTCTTAATATGCTTTAGGATTCTCTTTGGCTAATATTTTATGGAAGATTTAAAATTGATACTCATAAATGAAATTAGTTGGTAGTTTTTCCTTTGCTTTGGGCTTTGTTGGGTTTTGGGCTATTGTGCCAATTTCATCAGATGAATTTGGAAGTTTCTCTTCTTTTTCTTTGCTCTGAAATAGTTTAAATAGCCTTGAGATTATTGGACCTTTAAAGGTTTGAAGGAGACTTCCCTTAGGAATTATTTTATGTGCAGGGATTCCAAGTTCTTTCCTGCTACCTTACCTTGCTGGATGTAATGAATCTATTTAATCTGTGGAGTCTCCTGTAGCGCCTGGTGTCACCAAATTAATCTGATCTGTGAAGTCTCCTGTAGCCCCTGGTGTGGGATCTGTGGGCTGTGGTCGGTCCCCTGCACAGTCTGACTTTCCCTTTCTTCCCTGCAGGTACGGGGCTGATGTTGATGTCAACCACCACCTGACTCCTGACGTCCAGCCCCGATTCTCCCGGCGGCTCACCTCCTTGGTGGTCTGCCCCTTGTACATCAGTGCAGCCTACCACAACCTCCAGTGCTTCCGGCTGCTCCTTCTGGCTGGAGCGAACCCTGACTTCAATTGCAATGGTCCTGTCAACACACAGGGATTCTACAGGGGCTCTCCTGGGTGCGTCATGGATGCAGTCCTGCGTCATGGCTGTGAGGCAGCCTTTGTGAGCCTGCTGGTAGAGTTTGGAGCCAACCTGAATCTGGTGAAGTGGGAGTCATTGGGTCCGGAGTCGAGAGGAAGAAGAAAGGTGGACCCTGAGGCCTTGCAAATCTTTAAAGAGGCCAGAAGTAAGTGGCCTGAGTTCAGCTCTGACTTGTGGGCTGGGTTGATTGAATGAATCAAGATGTAGCAATAAACAAAAAACAAAAACAAAAAAAAACTTCTAACTGTGCACTTGGCCGAAATATTGTTAGCACTTGCAGTTTTCCAGATGGTTATTCAGATTGATCTTCTCTTTTTAAATTCCTGGATGCCAAGAATCGATATCAGGAAGTCTCTAAAAGTACATGTGTGTTGTCAGAACTCCTAGAATTATGTTTTCTCTCTCTTTCCTTTTTTGAGACAGGGTCTCACTCTGTCACCCAGGCTGGAGTACGGTGGTACAGTCATGGCTTACTGTAGCCGTATCCTCCTGGGGCTTGTGTGATCCTCCCACTTCAGCCTGCCAAGTAGCTGGGACTATAGGCGCACACCATACTTAGCTAATATTTGTATTTTTTGTAGAGATGACGTTTTGCTGTGTTGCCTAGGCTTGTGTTGAACTGCTAGACTCAAGTGATCTGCTGTCTTGGCCTCCCAAAGTGCTAGGATTACAGGCATGAGCCACTGCCCTGGCCTAGAATTATAGTCTCTTTATCCTTTTGCTCTGCTTTCTGGCCCCAGATTCTTACGGACAGTGACTTCTTTTATGCCCGGTTTTTAAATGAGCCCTTAAAACAAATTGTAAGCGGCTTTCTTGGATTCCTTGCTTTCCCTTCTTCAGTTCCAGTCAAGTATCACTATTTTGGATTGTGTGATAAGTCTCAGTTTTGTTACAATAAAGTTCCTAGTCTGCTTATTTATGAAGAGGGATTTTTTTTTAACGTTAATGCATCAATAGCACGAGAGATTGGAATTGACTGTGTCTTGGTCTTGTCATCTGAGGCGCTCACTGGGATTCAGACACTGACCTCGTGTGTCCTCTTTGACCTCCTGCCCACACGTCTCCCTCTCCCACCGCTCCCAGACTGGGTCCCGAGACATCCAACTTGGTAACCTCTTCCTTCCCTGCTTCTCAGAGGACTAAATCCATTGTGTTTTTGTTACTTGATTTCCGTAAACCAGTTCATTAAAGCATGCTCCTGTGTAGCCTTCCCGCAAATAGTTAATGGTCAGCTGGGAACCATCCTGATAGAAAAAGCAGCTTGCTTCCATGACTGTTCCACGCATCAGCTTCCTCACTGAGGCAGAACTTGGCTGCGCTCTTTTCATTGGGAGCAAAGTCGTCAGCCTGTGCCCCACAGGCACTGCTCCACTCGTGTTCCTTAGGTTCTTGTGGCACTTCAGGGTTTGACCAAGAGAAGAGCCTGACAGAGGCTGGGTGCCAGCAGCTTGCACCTGCCAGGACCTTCAGTGGTCGACTCTGATTTCTTTGTCTTGTGCATTAAACATGGTCAAGTTGCGACCCAGGGAGCAGATGCCTGGGTTAATGAGGCTGTAAAGGTTTCCCTCCTTCCTCCAACAGAAGGAGCAGATTAGAAGACCTTCCTCCCTGGGGTCTCCTTTCTTCATCCATCAGGAAAAGCCATCACTTTGTGTCTCACTGAGCATTTTGAAGTTGGTAGTGAGCATTTGTGCAGTTCTGGCTGCCAGTCCCAGCTGCCTTTGCTCTCTAGAGCTAGGATAGAATTGACCTTCCTCTGTCCCTCCCTTTCTTCCTGTGACCTCCAGGTGTTCCCAGAACCTTGCTGAGTTTGTGCCGTGTGGCTGTGAGAAGAACTCTTGGCAAATACCGGCTTCATCTGATTCCTTCACTGCCTCTGCCAGACCCTATAAAGAAGTTTCTGCTTCATGAGTAGATCTCAGTGCAGCGGTTGATTCCAGTGAGGGAGAAGGTGATCTGCAGGGAAGGTGGACACCGAGTCCCGCGTGCCGTGCTGCTGGTGGTATCCTGGTGGCTGCTGCTACAGAAGACATTCTCGTGGACTGTCATTCCTCCTCAGGTGCCTGGGCCGCTGAACAGTCCTTGGGTCGTTGTCAGCCTAGAGGCTCATACAAAAGTTATTTTTGTTTTTCCCGAGTTCTCTATTTTGGATTTTCAGTTGCATATTAATGTAATGGGCCATGGAATATGTACACGTAAGGGCTGAGGTTGGAGGCCTAGTAATTTCCCTGGAGGGAAGACCCCTAGCACTTCTGGAACTGTGCTTCTATTTATTTTTCTACTTCTCCATTTGATTGTTTGATTAAAGCCTAGTATCTAAGTGAAAAGAGAGTTTTGTAAGCAAAACAGAGGACAGAAATGCAGTTCATGAACTTGCTAGTTTGTTTTCCCCACTCTTGGGGTAACATGCACTAGTCATACACATGCTCCTTCCTTGCACTTCAGTAGTCTCTCACTGTGGTCAGGTGTCGTAGTGATTGTCTTCTTCAGGGGTAATTTTCTGCTGCGTAGCACCTGTTCTGATACCTACTGTGCCTCTCATCAGGTGTCATGATTTTTCTGCCACTTCACCTTAGGGAGCTTCCAGTAATTGATTTTAGGAGGCCCACACCAAACTGCCCAGGAAATGACTGCCTTCCTTGGGACCAAGGACTGTTCCAACAGCATTCACTGCCAGTTCTAACAGGCGAGGAAAATGCCCGCGGCACTGTCTCCTGTCCCCTACACACACCAGAAAATGAAAAAGGCAGTGGGTCCTCTGGATGGTTCTAGCCTCCAGGTGCATGCTGTCCGGTGGACAGAACATCTGGCAGTTGGTTGATGGCTCTTTTTTGTCTCAGTAGCTGCGTCTAGCATCTACGCAAGGGGATAGCAGTGAGGTCAGAAGTCTTTCCCGGCCTGCTGGGAACGGTGGCAGGGAAGAGATGACTTGGGTTATCATTGCTGATAGCTTTGGCTGCGTGGGTGGGGCTTCCCCTCACCCAGGGCTGTGCAGCCAGGTGTGAGGGTCACCAGCAAGTGGGCAAGTGACTGCGGCCTCAGAGCTCTCCCAGGTTGCTGCTATTTCCCATGAATCACATTTTGTCATTTGGAGCCCATGAGGACCATTGTGTGGATCCCTGGTGATTCTGGACTTCAGATATATTTAGAAAGGAGCAGATTTCAAATCTGTTTAGATTTTCTATAATAAGAGAAATCCAATTTGTAAAAATTGAACAATGATATTGTTTTACTTATTAGCATCACTGTGTGTCTTAGCAAGCAGGCAGTGCCTAGCCATTAATTGCGTTCTACAGCCTGAGGATGGAGTTCTATACCCCCACCCCCTGTATCACAAATGGGCTCTGTGTGGGTCACCTCAGCTGATCCAGTTGTGTACAGATGGAGTTCCAAAGGGAAGAACAGTCCTCGGGTGATTGAGAGGGGAAATGCAATTCTGGAGGTGTTTCCTCAGCTGAGGTGACACCGTGAGAAGCTGTGATGGTTGTGTCAATGTGGGCTGTGTGCTGTTCCCAAGGGGAGCTTGGGACTGGGTCCTGCTGAAGTCAGGAGGGTCTTCCCAAGAGAGGAGAGGAACTGCAGGCAGTGAGCGGCTGGGGAGGGCCAGGACAGCCGGAGCCAGGTGCTGCCGGGGCTTCAGCCCGGGAGAGGGGGTAGGTGTGTTCTTTGTGGCACCCAAAGTGGGACTAGGACAAACATTGGGCTGGGGCTGGGGTAGGAGCTATAGGGAGTTAAGAAATGATGATATGGAAGTTGGAGCCACCAAAGTGGACTGGGCCTTGTCACTGGAGGTCATAGGCAGTGGCTCATCACCCTGGTAGCGCTGAGAGGGGCTTTCAAGGAGGCTGCTTAGCTCCCTGCACTCTGGGCTCTTTCTGGGCTTACTGTTTAACCCTTCCTACCTCTTGAGTCTCTTCTTCTTGCCACCCTTTGGGTTCAGGGTAGGAGAGGAGGGTGACTTTTCTCGAGATGAGCCATATTGTAGACATGTGACATGCTCTGTGTCTGCTCTACTGAGTGCTTTCTGCAGGGTCCTGGTAAGGAAGAGGCCTCCCCAGCCCTTCCTGGGGCTCAGTTCTTGGACCTTTTGGGAAGCAGCACCTGGGAATGCTGCCTCATGGGAGTCCCATGTGCGAGTGTGCTGGTGTGACCTTCAGGCTGCACAGAGGCGAGGACCTACGTGTGGCAGTGTGGGCATCACGCTCCTTTGCACAGCGCAGGGCCTGCTTCTGAGGGACCAGGCCACTGCCTCCGGTCTCTAGAAGGAATGGACTGAATGGATCCTTGCAGAGGAGCCTCACCCAGACCTGGCCAGGGAATGATGTGTCTGGAAAGAGAAAGAGCTGGAGGAGGGAGCCTCTTGCATCCCTTCCCTGGCCTGTGGCCTGCCCTGGCTGGCCTGCATTTGTCTAGGGTCTCAGCTTTTCATTTGCAGAGGACGTGTTCAACTTCCTCATTGTTCAAGCCAGACTTTGCGGATTTTTTCAGAATCCAAACAGCTTGGAAGTTCGGTGTCTTGTTTCATAGCTGCCAAACATGATTTTGAAAACAGTGTTGGTAGCTAAGGGAATTCCTCCTGGATTTTAGTGATACTCCCTTCACTAAAGCTCCCTTTTTCTTCTGTTGGCAAGGATAAAAGAGTTGTACTCTCCACCTGAGCACTTTATAAAATCACCTTTCTAAGCCCTGGGGCGCCTAAGTCTTGCAGCACAGGGAAACGTGGTCCTCAGTGAGGCTGCTGCCTGGCTGGTCCAGAGTCCTCCCCAGGAGAAGGGCTCGATGGGCTGGCAGGAAGGAGCCTGAAGGTTGCCCCTGGTTGCATCCTAGGAGCGTCTGACTGTCGCGTCACCATGCCAGGGCAGCTGCTGGCTGTTGAACAGAGTCCTGGGCCCTGGGCCTTGGCTGCTGTCAACAGATGGGCTGGGCTGGGCCAGGCTGGGGTTGGGAGAGGGGGCAACGTCGATACCTCTGAGAATTCAGCTTTGGAGTCCCCGATGAGGGGTTTTAGATAAACCCATCGGTATTACCCACATCCTGTGACTCTTTGTATCACTCATGTTATTTATTTATTTATTTATTTATTTATTTAATTTATAGTCTGCCTTGTTCCAGAGAAGTGTTTAAGGCAACAATGCTTGTTTTTTGGTGTTTTCTTGTGACATTTGAAAGTTTAGTTAAAATGTACTTCTTAAATAGGTAATTTTAAAGAGAAAGGACAATTGTTTTAAGTAAGTTTTCTTTTTTCTTTTTCTGTGAATTGATTCTTCAAATTAAACGTTCTTGAGAGAAAGAGAAAGAGAGAAAGATAAGCAGACATAGGGCTGAGGCAGGGGAGAGTCTGCCTGCGGGGGACGCTTGGCCTGTGCTTTACTGTCATCCGTGTGGCCTTGGCCAAGTCCCTGTTCACAGTGGTGGCTCTACTTTAGATAGGGACAGGGCTTCCTGCTGTGCCTTCCCGGTGGAGTTTTGTGGGGTCACTTGGGAAAGCAACTATGTTACACACACAGTCCCCATGTGCGTGGAAACTGCTGTTGTGGTGACTTTTCCCTGTTCTCAGTGCAAACGCATTTGAGGTGATGGCTGGAGGAGCCTGTGACCCGGGAGATCTCAGCTGGACCGTGGGCCCCGATGGACCAGAGTCCTGGTGGCCCACAGTGTAGCATGGGGACTGAGCGCTCTATGCAGGCGAGGCTATGAAAACAGCATGGTAAATAATTCATGAAGTCACGTTTATTCAACTTGAAGGATTGTGTTTTATTCTGAGATTATTTTTGTTCTGATGTGGATGATAAAATGTCCTTTTATGTAATGAAGGTGAAAGCTGAGGGCAATATTTTTGCTTTTGAAATGCTCTTGGTTGCAAAACACAGAATGTTGGCTGCTGTTTGTCAGCCGCAGAATTTCTTCTTCAGTTCGCCTGTCTCTGAAACCCCAAAGTCAGGGAACCAAAGTCTAGCTGTGGTGTATATTTACGCATTGGTGAGAAATTCCTCTTGGGTTCTGAAACAGCCTGTACACTGGCAAAGAGCACTGCAGCATTTCCACTGCCTCACGGTCCAAGAACAAGTTGGGAGATCGCCGCATGTGGTTTTAGGAAGTGCAGACACCTGTGAGATGGGCCTCTGGCTACCCCTGGATCCGTGAGACATACTCACAGGAAGTTGGTGTGGCCTTCGGTGGGGACTGCCCCCCTTAACCTGGGCCTGGGAGCCTGTGGCCCCCTGTATGTTGGTGATGACACTAGTGTGGGTCTTTTGGGTCCTCACCTGGCCGTTTGCACTCAGCAGGCAGGCCTGGCCTCCAGAACCTGGATCTTTGCCAGCTCGGGTCGCTGTCCTGGAATTACCTGTTTGGGCCACGTGACCTCTGTTCTCACATCTGCCTCACTTCCCTCTCCCCCTCCAAACCTGAATCTCTCAGTGTGGAACAGGCGTCCCCAAACTTTACACAGAGGGCCAGTTCGCTGTCCCTCAGACCGTTGGAGGGCTGCCATATACTGTGCTCCTCTCACTGACCACCAATAAAAGAGGTGCCCCTTCCTGAAGTGTGGCGGGGGGCCGCAGTTTGGGGATGCCTGGTGTGGAATTAAATAGTTTAGGTGGTTCCATGATACAAGTTGATGGAATTCACGTCCTAGGAGAAATTCCACAGAGAGGAATGTTAAATTTTGAAGTGCACGGTGACGTGTGGAATAAATACTATAAATTCTCAGCAGACAGTGGGATTGAGAAGTGAGTGGGGGCAGAGGGGAGACTTCTGTTGCCTTGACATGTGATTGCTCAGTACCTGGAATGCAGGCGACTCTCTTATTTTTTTCTTTTTCTTTTATTTATTTATTTATGTTTTGTACTGGGATTAATTAACAAAATCTTACTTCATGCAGGCTGCAATAACCAAATACTATAGATTGGGTGGCTTCTGAACAACAGAAATTTATTTCTCACTGTTCTGGAGGCTGGGAAGTTCAAAATCAAGACACCAGCAGTGTTGGTATCTGGTGAAGGCCACTTTCACATAGATGGCATCTTTTTGCTGTGTCCTTACATGGCGGAAGGCGCAAGGCAGCTCTCAGGTGCTCTGTTATAAAGACACTAATCCCAAAACCCCGCCTCCTCATACTATCTCTTTGGGGGTTGGGATTTCAGTGTATGAATTTAGGGGAACAGCAGCATTCAGATCAAAGAAAAGAGAATGTCCCTTTTTTTTTTTTTTTTTTTTTTTTTTTTTAAGAATAAGACGAAGAAAGAGAAAGAGGAAGAGGGAGAGAGAATGGGGGTATTGCTTTATTGCCCGGGCTAGAATGCAATCTAAATATGGGTATGCCTAT